GTATTTAAATTACATTTTATAGATGACCTGTAGTTGATTTCTGCCTTTTGTTTGGAATGTTTAATCCAATTTGTTTAATGTGGGTTTCAGTGTTATTATTTTCCCATTTGTTCTTCTGAGATTGAGTATACACTTCATTGATTTTTGAATAAATTCATAAAATGTGTGTCCATACTACTAATTACAGAACATGTTTATCACCCGCACAAAGATGTCTCATACCCATTCGAAGTCTCTTCACTCCTGATTTCCCCTAACCCTGCAATTCTAGTGTCACTATTCTGCTTGCTGCTTTTATACATCTCACTATTTTAGGTGGCCCCTACCCCCGTCCTTTCTGTACTGCAGTTTGAATCCAGGGCACTTTTATCACTGAACTACATCCCCTGACCTTTTAATTTTGAGACCGGGTCTCACTAAATTACCAAGTTTGGCCCTGAATTTGCCATCCTCTTGCCTTGGCTTCCTGGCTCACTAGGATTATACAGGCATGCTCCACCCTACCCAGCATTTAGGTATCTCTTAGAAGTGGAATCATACAGGAAGTGGCCTTTTGTGTCAGGATTCTTTCTCTCAGCATGATGTTTCCAATTTTCATCCACGTTATAGTATAAATTATTATTTTATTCCTTTTCATAGCCTAATAAATTGTGAATATACATTTTATTTCTTCATCAGTTGAGGGACATTGTGCAGTTTCCATTTTTTGACTTCAAGAAGTAGGCTGATTTAAATCTTTGTTTACTAGTTTTTGGATGTATGTTTTCAGTTATCTCAAAGTAGCTACATTATATGGTAACTGTAACTTTAGTAATGTGTCAAATTTTCCAAAGCAGCCTAACCAGTTTTTATTCCCACCAGCAGTGTTTGGGGGTTTCTAATTGGTTCACAACCTGGTCAGCAGTTACTGTCTTTTTGATGTCACTATTATAATGTGTGTGTGTAGTAGTATCTCTTTGCCATCTTTTTGAACTACATTTCCCAATTGATTACTGATGAAGAGCATCGCATCTTTCTTTGTGCTTCCTAATGTTTATTCATTCCTCTGTTAGTTCTATAATGCTTCTTGTTGCGCTACATGATTTTTTCTTTTATTGGTTTCTGTGTTTGTGTATATGTGTAGGGCTTATAGTATGCACCCTTAAATTATCAGAAGCTATCCAAAATTTTTATTGTACCTCTTCACAAAGAAAAACTTTCACTTCTGACTTTCTACTTTACACAAATAGTGTTTAGGGTTCCATCTAGCCTCTATTACATTTTATCTTTTCAAAGTTATTGCATGTTGGGTTTCTTTGACTACCCAACATAAACATTCATAAACACATGTAAAATTTGTATTACAAACATGTTTCTCAAGTAGAGAATATGTTTTGTGTTGATTTTCACTTAATAAGATATTCCTTTAATTTGAAATAGTTATGATTCCCACCACCAGCCCTCCGTACCTGTGACTGAGTCCAGGGTTACTCTACCACTGTAGAGCCTTCATTCTCTTTTGAACTAAGTTGCTGAGGCTGCCTTCAAAGTTGAGATCCTGCTTCAGCCTCCCAGGTTATTGGAATTATAGGCATTTGCCACCATGCCTGGAAGAGTAACCATACTTTAGTATCTTGACTATCTTGTTAATTTTAGGTATGTTGGATGTGATGCTACCATATGGCCCTATTGAAAAACTGTTACTTTAATTATTTTGGCCTGGGTCATTTTATGCTCTTGAAGAATAAATGCTTAATCAGTTTTTTTTTTTAATATTTATTTTTTAGTTGTAGTTGGACACAATACCTTTATTTATTTTTATGTGGTGCTGAGGGTTGAACTCAGGGCCTCACACATGCTAGGCGAGTGTTCTACTGCTGAGCCACAACCCCAGCCCGCTTTATCAGTTTTTTTGTTTGTTTGTTTGTTCGTTTTTCTGGTGCACAGGATTAAATCCAGGACCCTGCGCATACTAAGCATGAGTTCTACCAATAAACTATGCTGCCACCCTTTAAATTTTCTTATAGAGCCTTTTGTTGTTTTACTAGAACTGGGATGTTTATTTCAGTCTAGGACTTGTATTAACTGTGACTTAACTATGTGTGCATGTGCTTCCTTTGCTTTGCAGATGGCACAGCAAATAGGAGAATGTGATTTTATTTTTCATTTACATTGTATACTAAGCATGATGCCGTGCCTTAATTATTCCTTTGCAGGGAGACTAAGGATTTTTGTCCCTTTTTGTCCTTTGTGTCCTTTGCTTGCCTCAGAGAACTCTTCATCTGTGATCTTCCAAAACAGGTTGCAGATAATAAAATCTGTTGCCCTGCCTAGTCACAAGTTCTGCCAGTTCCAGCCAGCTGAGACTTGTGTGAAAACCCAGCACCTAGTCATGCCATCATGGCTCACCAGTAGAAGCTTGTTCTGTCTGGAGCAGGCTGAGGCTCTCTGTTGGGGTTCTAAGAAATGAATGCCTAATGCTGAAAGTTGACTCATCCTTATTTTCATCCTCTATCTCTCAATCTCTAAGGAACAGAGAGGTAATTACTACCCAGTATCATCTTCTTCTTCACATGATACTAAACAATAACCAGTTGTGGGGCTGGGGATGTGGCCCAAGTGGTTGCACACTCGCCTAGCATGCGTGTGACACTGGGTTCGATTCTTAGCAGCACATTGAAATAAAATGAAGATATTGTGTTCACCTAAAACTAAAAAATAAATATTTTATTAAAAAAACAACCAGTTGTCTTTCCTGCTATTTTTTTAGGATGGAAAATGAATGAGAAAATTGGTCATTTAAGAGTGTTTGGAGTTTTTGTCAGACAACAGGGAATGTTGATCTTATTGTGTTCAAACTTCATTGGTTTGATATCCTCGTTACCATATTCAAATAATTTTTCTTTTAATTAAGGATAATTTCATAAAGATGGGAGGTATTTAAGTCATTAAGAGGGAATTGCTCTGAGCTGAATAGATGAGTTAATCAGTGAATGTTCCAGGTAATGTAAACTCTAGAACTGAATTTTAGTTCACACAGTTATTTTGGGGAGTACATTGCTACCACCCTCTTCTTCCTTTAAATAGCAAAATCTGAAAGATATGCAAAATTTGGTTTGTGTTGGTGTTTTTCTAGGGTTGAGAGTATATGGTTTTATTTCCTACAGAGGGTTAAGAGCCAGGAGTGGAAAGGAGCCTTTGGTGTCAGTTTACTCTGTCCAGTACATTTACCTTCAAAAGTCCCCCTCCCCCATCTTTAAGTAGATTTATATGAGAAGGTTTATCTGTACAAGATCTGAATTATCTTGCATTGTGAGCCCTCAGTACCATTTGGTTAAGGTTGTATGGAGATGCCTCAAGAGAACTTAGAACAAACATGGTGTAATTGAAACTGAGTAGGATAATAGAGCTGTAGGAAAGCCTTGTAAAGCATGCAATTCTTGAGTCAGGTAAGGGCTTCCAGACAGATTGATGGCACAGAGAACCACACTGTTCAGACATATTGTGGGACTGGCTGGCTTGTGCTTCTGAACCACACATGGCAATAAGGGTTACAGATGTAACTATCATAGTTGTAAGTCAACATGGGTATGACTCTTCTTAAAATTTAATGATAACTGATAGGGCCTCATTCCTCTTTACCCCTTAGGAAGAAACAAAGTTACACATCAGCCAAGTGTGACAGCCTGTAATCCTAGCTGCTGGGGAGGCTGAGGCAGGAGGGTCTCCGTTTCAAAGCCAGCTTCAGCAATTTAAGCCCTAAACAATGCAGCAAGACCCTGTCTGTAAATACAATATTTAAAAAGGGCTGGGATCCTTCTGAGGTCCTGGCCCTAGTATCTGGGCATTCCAAGGAATGCCCCTTCAACATATTCAAAGCAGCCTCAGACTAATTTCAGTGGTATGGAGATGCCTTGAGAGAACTTAGAACACCGCATAAAAATAAATAAAAGATACTGTGTGTTCATCTACAAATAAATAATTTTTTTTTTTAATTAAGCATTTGAGGGGCTGGGGATGTGGCTCAAGTGGTAGCGTGCTTGCCTAGCATGAGTGAGGCACTGGATTTGATTCTCAGCACCACATAAAGATATTGTGTCCACCTAAAAAATTAAATATTAAGAAAATTAAGCATTTGAGGGGCTGAGATTGTGGGTCAGCTTTAGAGTGCTTGTCTAGCACATGCGACTGGCTTCAATCCTCAGCACCACATAAAAATAAATAAACAAAATAAAGGTATTGTCTCCAAGTACTTCTAAAAAATAAATGTTAAAAAAAATTAAGCATTTGAGCTGGAGTTGTGGTTCAGTGGTCAAGTGCTCGCCTAACACACATGAGGCATTGGGTTCAATCCTGAGCACATGAAATAAAGATATTGTGTGTCTACCTACAACTAAAAAGTAAATATATTTGGTTTTAGAAGTTAAGTACTCCCATAGTCCCAGATACTCAGGAGGTTTAAGCCAGGAATTTGAGGCCTGCCTGGTCAACAAAGGGAGACCTCATCTCTTAAAAGGGAGAGGGAGAATATAATATAGTTGCATATTAGAGTAGCTCCTCATGTTCTGCCATAAGCCAGTTTCAAATTTTGGTATCTTAACCTTAAATAGTTGGGCAGACTCTGTGATTATTTTTTGTGCCAGTCTGTGGGATGGATCCAATTTTGAACTAAATAATTTTCATAGAGTCTCTTTAATTATATGAGCAAAGTATGCAACTGTCCTCCACTTCACATTTATATCTTTGATAATATAAAACTTTTAACTATTTGACCAGAATGTGCTGTCTGGTTTAAAGGAAAACAACTTATTCTGTGAAAAACTCTCTCAACGTTTTTATCTTCTTTTAAATTTGACTAAACTTATAGAGGGTCTAGTACATATAGCTTCATTGAGGTCCTCATAGTTCCTTTCAGAACCTTTCATAAACTTATCAGCTATCAAACTCACCTCTCTCTCCCTGTTTCTACCCATCATCTGTTTTATATTAATGCATTTTCATGTCTGGGGCTGTTTGGTTAGGCCTCAGACATTCCACAGCTACCTGGAGGACATCATCAACTACCGATGGGAGCTCGAAGAAGGGAAACCCAATCCTCTGAGAGAAGCCAGTTTCCAGGACTTGCCTCTTCGCACCCGTGTGGAGATCCTGCACCGGCTCTGTGATTATCGGCTAGATGCAGATGATGTCTTTGACCTCCTCAAGGTGCTTCACTGGCAGTCCTTTCTCTAGAGCAATTAAAAACAGCAGTGAGGAATTTAGTCAGAACATGAAACTAAAGCTAATACGAGATGCCAGAGTTTGGCTTGGGTGGCTTGTCTGTATGCTCTTAATTGACAGTGACACTGTGAACACAACCATGACCCTGTAGCCAAAGGAACAGAAGCTGCGTTATCTATATGGCAGTATGTTGTTTTGATTTAATTTCTAGTTGGGTTTTGTGCTTCTTTCCATGCACTTTATCCCAGCTGAGTCAGGACCAAAAAGAGGCACTTATTCATACTGTAACTAATTTGACCACTGAATTTTATTTCCCAAGGTCTAAATTTGAGCATAATTAAAATACCTATTGAAAACTCTGGAACTTGAAACTAGTTTTGCTAGTGAAGTTTATCCCCTATACACACACCAGCTTTGAGGATGGACTCCTAAGAATCATCATGTAGGGCTGGGGTTATGGCTCAGCGATAGAAGGCTCACTAGCATGTGCAAGGCCTGGGGTTCAATCCTCAGCACCACATAAAAATAAATAAAATAAAGGTATTGTGTCCAACTATAATTAAAATAATAATTTTTTTTTTTTTTTTTTAAAAAGAATCATCATGTAATCCAGTGCACTCTTTGCTGAGGACCTCAGCAGTTCTGGGAAGGCCAGTACAGATTAGGCACAGCAATAAGTGAGGAAGGGGTGGCTGTGGGTAATGATAGAGCTATGGTAGAGTATCACACAAGACAAAACCTTTGAAACATCTTTAACACTACCTAGTTGTAAAATGAGAATAACACCTCTAAACCAAATTAAAAAAAACATTCACCAGAACTATTTTTTTTAATTATATATGACAGCGGAATGCATTACAATTCTTAATACACATACAGAACACAATTTTTCATATCTCTGGTTGTGTACAAAGTATATTCACACCAATTTGTGTCTTCATATGACCATCATAACTTCTCCTCCAACCCCTCTGCCCTATCTAGAGTTCTTCTATTCTTCCCATGATCCCCCTCCCTATCCCACTATGAATCAGCCTCCTTGTATCAGAGAAAATATTCGGCATTTGGTTTTTGGGACTAGCTAACTTCAGTTAGCATTATCTTCTCTAACTCCATCCATTTACCTGCAAATGCCATGATTGTATTCTCTTATTGCTGAGTAATATAGAAAGCCTACATCTTGGGAGCAAATCTTTACCCCTCACACATCAGATAGAGCACTGTTCTCTAGTGTATATAAAGAACTCAAAGTTAAACACCAAAAAAACCCAAATAACACAATAAATGGGCCAAGGACCTGAACACACACTTATCCGAAGATAATATACGATCAATCAACAAATATGAGAAAATGTTCATCATCACTAGCAATTGGAGAAATGGAAATCAAATCTACTTTTAAGATTTTATCTCACTCCAATAATAAGTGTTGGCGAGGATGTGTGGGAAAAGGCAAACCCATACACTGCTGGTGGGTCTGCAAACTGGTGCAGCCAATATGGAAAGCATTATGGAGATTCCTTGGAAAGCTGGGAATGGAACCACCATTTGACCCAACTATCCCTCTCCTCCATCTATACCCAAAGGACTTAAAAACAGCATACTACAGTAACACAGCCATATTAATGTTTATAGCAGCACAATAGCTAAACTGTGGAACCAACCTAGATGCCCTTCAGCAGGATAACTTTTTTTGGTGAAATGGGAGCAGTGGTGAGGGTAGGGAACATTTGAGATATTTCCATATCTTGTTCTTCAAAGAAGGTAGTCCCTTCCCATTCTGTCTCTCTTTCGTCTGTCTTGATCAAAAAATAAATATGATACTTGGTTATTTTAAAACACGAGGCTAAAGTTGAATTTTGAATCACTTTAGTTTTTTCCTATTTTTATTTTATTCATTTTCCCAAACTCCCAATTCCTTTTGGGTCTAGGGCCTGGATGCAGACAGTCTCCGTGTGGAACCTCTGGGGGAAGACAATTCTGGGGCCCTCTACTGGTATTTTTATGGAACACGAATGTACAAAGAGGACCCAGTACAAGGGAAGTCCAATGGCGAACTCTCCTTGAGCAGGTACAGTCTTTAATGTCAGGGTGTGACAGCTACAGTTAAAATTAAGTGCATCAGAATCCTACATCAGTACATCGCTGCTTTTTTTTTCTTTTTCTCTTTTGAAGGAATTAATTGTATTAGCATGCCTAAAAGGAAATGGACAAGGAAAGGAGTCTTACCATACAAAAATTAAAATGAGGGTTTTGGATATAACTCAGTGGCAGAGAGCCTGCCTAGCATGTGCAAGGCCCTGGGTGCAATGCAAAATAAATAAATGCATAAATAAATTAAAAGGAATTACTCCATAGCCTCTTCACAAGGCTATGGTGATTTCTAAGGAGTACCACTACCTTACTACAGACTATTTTAATACAGCCATTTTCTTCTGAACAGCACAGTTATGTATGTAACAGTTTCATCTTTCATAGGCATGCCTCAAGAACTCCATTTTCTATTAGAATTGATATTCTGCTCTTTGACTGTTAGGAGCCATCAGCCTAATTCCAGAGAACTTTAAATGATGGCCTGAAATGTAAGCTTTACTGAGTACTTCCTAAATAAGAGACCTCTTCGCCACAGCATTCCAGAACAATGCTTGCCTGTTATTTTATTTAGACTTCCTTGTTGGTAGGAGTAATGCTTACTATTAGGAAGGTGTAGAGCTTACGTAGTGCAAAATGTCAGTTTTCCTTGGTTCCACTGTTTAATAATAATGGAAGACATTTTACCCTCCCCATTCCTTGTTTTTGTTACATTTAATCCTTTTTGGTAACCTCATGACCAGAAATACTATAATTAGTTATATTAGAATTACGTGTGACCATACTGTTTCTTAGGGAAAGTGAAGGACAAAAAAATGTCTCAAGTGTTCCTGGAAAAACAGGAAAAAGAAGAGGAAGGCCCCCCAAACGCAAGAAACTGCAGGAGGAGATTATTGCAAGGTGAGAAAGTCTTGTTATTCTCTGGTCACATGCCTTCATGCTAGGAGGATCCTTCATTTCATTTGTTTCTTCATCTTTTATTTTTGCCTCTGGAAGGACATGGGACTTTGCTTGTGGAGACCCAAGGTCAGAGTCCTTGTTGAGTGTACATTAAGGAACCAGGAAGCCCTGGCTGCATGATCTCTACAAAGTTACCTACCTTCCCTAAGCCTGTTATTTTATTGAATTATGATTATCCATTTAATGAGGATTAAATTGAACAACAGTGCATGCCAGTGTAACAAACTGAAAATCATGCTTGACCCATAGTAAAGGTGTTTTGCTTTTTTTAAAACTTTCATTTTTTTTTAGTTGTTGATGGACATTTTATTTTATTTATTTATTTTTTTATTTATATGTGGTGCTGAGAATTGCACCAGTGCTAGGCAAGCACTCTACAATTAGCCCCATAGTAAAGATTTGATAAACATTTGTTATACCAAACATTTAAGAATTTATTGAACCACACATTTTATACAGAAAGATAGAGCAAATTAATTTTGTGGTTACCTGTTAACTAATCAGCATGTTAGTAGAATTACCTATCATATCTGAGGTCAGGGGTTAATTATTTCTCAGCAGAGAACTTAGCATTTAACATACCCAGACATACTTTATTTTATGTAGAATGCAATTTCCTACAATAAAGAAAAGGTGAAAATCTAAAGTATTTTCTTAATTTTAGCAAAGGAAAAGGCATCCTCTTGTATTGAAAATAATTTCTTTTGTGTGTCATTATCTTTTAGGAAAGACTACCATATGAATCTTGATATGAGTATATTTCAGAATCTGACCCAATCTGACCTATACTATATAAATATACTTTTCACTTAAGAATCAGGTCTATCATTATAAAGCAGTGGAAGTGTGGCCCGTTCCTAAAATTTCTGTTAACAGAATAAGCAGTTTCTTCCTAGTAAGTTTATAAACTGTAAGTACTTATCTAAATGCTTGGATTAAGCCTTTTTCACTGATTTTTTTTTTTTTTTAACCACAAAAACACATTCCTAAAAAATCAGATTATGTAGATCCATCAGAATTTGATTTTGTTAACTCAATCAGCATTCCGCTTAATTTTCCCTGATTTGACTAGATGGTAACTACCTGTTTCTGGATTCTACATGGTCCACATGTTCTTTTATGTTCAAGAAAATGTTTTATGTAACTCCATTTCCCTGTGAGTGCACAATTAAAGTACCTTGCTGTTGGGATTATAGAGTCATTTTAAGAAGCACACATGGACGTGTGCTACCCTCTACTGGTAGTTAGAGCTATGTATCTGAGACTATTGAAACATTTTTAAAATAAATGAAAATTGAAATTTATAAGTGTTCAGTAACCTGTGGCTTGTGGCTATCATATCAGACAACGCTTGATGGAAACTTTTTCATTTCCCACAGTTGTATTTAAGAGTGTACTGCTTTAAATGTTTGAAAAATAACAAAAAAAAAAAAAAATCCAGCTTTTTTGTTTGTTTGTTTGTTTCAGGGTAATAATTGACAAATGACAATGACATTTAACACTGTTGTTCATTTTGAAATTTAATCTCTGACATCCTTTGAGGTAGGAACTATTAATGGCCCCATTTTACAGGAAAGTTTCACTTTCCTGAGGTCACATGGTTTGAAAGAAGCATGTTTCACTGATTTGAAAGATGCAGTTCAACTTCAGATCCCATGTTCTTAGCCTCTACCTTACATAGGAGCAAATTAAAAACACCTATTCTCAGTATAGCCCTGCATTAGGGAAAAGGACAATGGAATCCCTAGTTTTTTTTTCTCGACTTTTAATTATTAACACTTAACCCATCTGTCTGATTTTCTAAAAATTGTTATTTTTCTGTACGATGATGTTATTGCCATAACATTGGTACCCAAATGAACTTATGGTTTTTAGCAACATGCCTAAATTCTAGTGTCCGTTTATTCTGTAGAACCATTCTTCTTGTATCTACAAACATACAGTCTTTCTCTTGTGTTATGTTAATTGGGTCTTTTTGTTGTTGTTGTTCTTTTTTTTTTTTTTAACATTTTTTAACTTTATTTTATTTGTTTGTTTATTTATTTATTTTTATGTGGTGCTGAGGATCAAACCCAGGACCTTGCACGTGCAAGGCGAGTGCTGTACCACTGAGCCATAACCCCCGCCCCATGTTGTTCTTTTTAAATATACATGACGGTAGAGTCTATTTTGACATTATACATACATGGAGTATAACTTCCCATTTTTATGATTATACATGATGTGGGGTTACAGTGGTCATGTATTCATATATGAACATAGGAGAGTTATGTCCAAATTATTCTACTGTCTTTCCTATTCTAAGGGAAGTACTGTGCAAATTTGAATTTGTTTTTATTTTAATTGCTGCCACCTTTTCTTGTGTTACAGTGAAAAGCAGGAAGAAAACTCCTTGGTGTCTGAGTCACAGACCAGAAATGGTAATGATCTTTGTTGGCATTTAGAAAAGATCAAGTCAACATGATTCATGTATATTATGATGGTGACTGTCTTTTTCCAAAGTCATTGAAAGCAATTAAAATGATTGCAGTAGTCTTATAACTAGCCTCCCTCCCCTTCTTCAATTCTTTTTTCCTCACACCTGTCCCATACCCATCTCTCCATCTGACAGCTTAATATCAAGACAAAGTATGTTAACTCAGACATTTTAGTGAATCATAGTATCTCAGCGAACTGTCCCATTAACATCAGCACTTTATGTGTTCCATATGGGTTTTCTCTCTGATTTTCATCCTGTAATCCAAATGGCATATTTTAGGGGAAAATAATCAAGTATTTTACAGTATCACAATCTAAATGGGTCTAGGCATAAATGTCTGTAAAGGTGCTCAAACTATTTTTCTGGGAAAGTATATAAATCCATTTAAGCTTTTCTGGGATGTTAATATCTTATTAAAGTCACAATAGTTATATTTGTATTGCCTCTAGTCTTTTATTGGTAAACAGTGACAGCAATAGGAAAATCAAAAGTATACATTTCTTATCTTCTCTTGTTTTAGTCATGACCTAGGTTAGAAATAATCCTGAGAATAAATACAGAAAAAAATGTCCTTGTTTAGGATATCTTATAGTGAATCATGCCTTTCTTTTGTAGGATCTCAAGGACCAGGCCAAGGCACTTGGTGGCTCCTGTGCCAAACAGAAGAGGAGTGGAGACAGGTCACCGAGAGTTTTCGAGAGAGGACCTCCCTTCGAGAGCGGCAGCTCTATAAGCTTCTCAGTGAGGACTTCCTGCCTGAGATCTGCAACATGATCGCCCAGAAGGTATGTAGAGACACTGAAGTGTTCAGTGCCATCAGACCGCTTGTTTGATGCTATGATGTTAATTTGAATTTTTGAATGCACTGTCCTTGAAGTATTACAGACTGTCATCCTGTCTGAACTGACGTGTTAATATGGGATCTTGTACCACCCAATTCTGCTTCCAGAGTGGGTCACATATTCTCCTTTCCCCCCAAGAATTCCTCTGTGATCAGCACCCACCAGTACTTAAATAGCTTTTCACAGGCTAGAACCAGCTTTCTTTCTATACTGTTTCTCAGGATATGCGCCCCGAGCCTGCCAGTTTCTCTCCTGTCACCCCATGTAGACCTCTGTATAATGATTATTTGGTTTTTGTTGTTTTATTAGTTTCTGTTTTTTGGGACTGGGGCTTTAACCCAGAGACAATTTACCACTGAGTCACATTCCCACTTCTTTTTATTTTTTCTTTTGAGACAGGATTTCACTAATTTGCTGAGACTGGCTTTGAAATTGTGATCCTCTTGTCTCAGCCTACCAAGCCACTGGTATTACAGATGTGCCCTACTGTGCCTGGATTTTGTAAAAATTTTTTTCCAAAAATCACCATATTATGGATCTCTTTCATTAAACAACAGACTTTGATGAGCATATATCTTGATGGCTTCAGTGCCAGCTCCTAGACCTAGCCACCTGAGCTATGTGTGCCCTTTTCTCCAACTTCAGGGCAAGTTATAATTTTATAAATTATTTATATGTATTTCCATGCATGCATACCCTAATTCATGACATTTTCAAACAACTTCTTCCCCAGCACACATACCTCCTTTTTTTTTTTTTTTTAACCCCTTTGAATACTATTCTCTAAACTCCATCTTCAAATTTACTATATCCATGAACTGTCTGTTTCTCCCAGCCTTAGGATTTTCTTTCTTATTTTTTTTTTCTCATGCTTTCATTGTGAGTTTAAGCTTCTTCAGCTCAGGGACCTCCCCTGCCTTATTATTTTTTTAAACCTCTGAAGTGCTTGATTAAATGCTGTTTGTTGTTGTTGTTGTTTGTTGCTATACCAGGATTGAGCACAGTGGTGCTATGCAACTAAATATATTCCAAACCCCTTTTATTTCTAAACAGGATCTTGCTCAGTTGCCAAAACTGGCCTTGAATTTGTAATCCTGCTGCCTTAGCCTCCTGAGTTTCTGGGATTACAGCCCCTGCTCTTGACCTTGAATGTGATTTCTACAGTGAATGATTGACAATCATTCTATTATTGCATTCAATAATGTAATATTTTTTATTATTAATATATGCTAATAGAAAACCAAAAATCTTGGAGCATCTGCCAATGAAATCTGAAGATAAAATAAATATAAATTATTCCAGCACCTAGAGGGAAAAGCAAAATATCAAATACATTACTAAATTTGTTCTGGATTCAGTGATGCATGTAACCTTTAAGAGGTTAATCGTTTTTTAAAAAAATATTTAGTTTTTTAGAAGTTGTTGGACACAATACCTTTATTTTATTTATTTATTTTTATGTGGTGCTGAGGATTGAACCCAGGGTCTCGAACATGTTAGACAATAGCTCTACCACTGAGCCACAATCCCACCCCCCAGATGAATCCTTTATTGAAAGTTCTAGGCATTCTAGGAGGAACTTATAAACAGTGAGTTATTGAAGACTTAACTTGATGATATTCATCAAGAATATTTGCACTTCACATCAGTGTGCTTAATTCCATATGAGAGCATTTCATTCAGTTTTTGTGATCTTCAACCTACTGTGACAAATTTTCTACAAAAATTATATATAGTCTCATTTTCTTAAAATAACTAAGATGGTTTTGTGGCTTGCTTGTATCATCTTGTATGTGACTTGATCTAAAGGGCCCATGGTGGCACAATAAACCATGTATAAATCATATAACTAATTAACTTATTATGTCTGCTTTTTCAACTATATTATACAGAGATTTTGGTAGATAATAGAATTAATGGGCAAAATTTAAAAGTATAAAACTGATGCTTTTGTTAAAAACATTTCCTGGGTTGATTCTTTTCAAGATAAAAAAAAAAAATTTTTTTATGTCTCAATGTAATTTTTAAGAACCATGAAAATAGAAACTATAAGATTTGATATTTTGAAAGATATACAGTACTTTCAATTTTAAAACAGTGTTAGCCAGAAAAAAAGAGAATCTAAATTATGAAGTAGAAAATTTTAGCAGACAATTGAGAAATGGTTTCACAACAGGATCTCAAGAAAACCTCCAAAATCAGGCTGGGGGTGTAGCTCAGTTGTAGAACCCTTAGTTGTCATGCTCCCAGTCCTGTGCAAGTTCAGCAAAACAAAGATAAAACCGGAATTAATTGGATTTATGCACAATTATTTTAAATTTTGAAGATTTGAAATTTTCTAAACCTTCAAAGAATAATTTCCAAACATTTCACAAATGAGGTACCAGGGATGTAGCTCAATGGTAGAGCACTTGACTAGCATGCATGAGAGGCCTTGGCTCCACTTTCTAGGAAAGGATAAGGGAAAAAATGTGAAGGTGCCCTTGTTAATTTAGAAAGGTATCTTATATTCCCATTCCCGATTAAATTAAACACTCTTCTCATTCAATAATCTATATTTCTGTAATACTGACAAATCAAAAGCTACCTCCTAGCCAAAAATCAGAGTTAAACCTGAGAATGTAATACTGGCAATAACATTTTGGATGGCTTGCCCAGTATAATATAGCAAAAAAGGGTACAAACATACAAAGTTTTTGAATGTTTGCCTGGAGACAATAAATCTAATAAAATGTCTATTAACTAGAATTTCTTAACAGTGCTGGGAAACAGACTGTTTGCATCAGAATCATTGGACGTGTTTACCAAAAATTCTCATTCCTACCTCTGCTCTGTTCCTAACCCTTGCAGAGTTATTCCAAGTAGTACCTGTTATTTTTGCAGTTGTAGAATTTCACCAGGTGATTATTGTGTATACTAAAATTTAAAATTCTCTGGAAAAAACATCCATTATAGTAGCAATGAAACAAATTTGTCAGAGTTGTACATTGTCTTATAAGGAAAATAAGCTTACAAATTCATTGGTAGATATATTATCTGTTTGTGGGAGGAAAGAGTAAAATAGAGCATAATATTCACCTGGATAAATTAAAAATTATTGTAATCTCTTCCAAATCCCAACACAGTAAAAATTTCCTCCAAAAAAACAGGCGAATGTAAATAGTGTGAAGTAGGTATATTGGATATTAGCACAGGAATCAGCATATCAGAAGCATTTTCGAAGCCTTAAGCCTTCACTTAAGGCTCACCTAGTGTAAGTGATTTGCTCAAAGTTATAGATAGTTATCAACTCTTAGTAATCTTTGTTATAATTGGCATTCAGCAGTTGAGTTACATGTTCAATAGTTGTAGCATTTTTATGAGCCTGTTTGTTCCTGTTTTACTTGTTATTGTAGTTAAACATTTGAGAATTTATGAAACCAATAAAATGTGGCAATAAAATTTCTGATAAAAGTTTGTATTGGGTTGGATATATAAGTTCAGTGTTAACACTATTTGCCTAGCATGTAAGGCCATGGGTTCAATCCCCAGAACTGCAAAAAAGGATTAAAAAGATATTTAAAATAAGTTGCTTGGGTTGGGGATATAGCTTAGTGGTAGAGCACTTGCCTAGCATGCATGAGGCCCTGGATTCCATCTCCAGTTCCACTACCACCAAGGGGGGAAAAAAAAAAAAGGTGGTTCTAAAATGTTGGCTATCCACTTGGGTAAAATTGTAAAAGATTGTAGGAGAGTACTTAAAATCATAAGGATTCTTACCTTTGGTTTTCAAGTGTTCTTAAAGTCTTACTTTAAAACTGAAAGAGCAAATGAAGATTTTAGATCATGTTTATGTGAACAAATCACAGGGAATTCCTCTTGGTGAGTCTCAGTATGTTACAATTGGTGAATGGCAGTATGTTTGTAAATTAAGTGCTTAAAGTATATACATTTTTAAAATTTCCTGCTTTTTAAATATTTATTTTTTAGTTGTAGTTGGAGACAATACCTTTATTTTATTCATTTATTTTTATGTGGTGCTGAGGATCGAACCCAAAGCCTTGCACTTACAAGGTGAGCGCTCTAACGCTGAGCCACAACCCCAGCCCAATTCCCTGCTTTGTATGTTAAGCTATCATTACTCACTGTAGTTGCAATAACCATGAGGAATTTTGTTCTAACAATGAAGAAATACTCATGATTCAAATGTGAAAATTTAAACATAGATTGGCAGAAAAGAATGCAGTGCTCACAATTATACACTATTGCATATTAAAACATGGTATGTCGCCAGGGATGGCCCATACCTGTAATCCTAGCTACTTGGGAGTGTGAGGCAGGTAACAGATAGCAAGACTGGGGATGTAGCTCAGTGGAGCTAGCACCCCTGGATTCAATCCCCAACACTGCAAAACAAAAGCAATGCAAAAAAGCAACAGTATATAAATGAAGCACAAAAACTTGAGCAGTGGAGAAAGCTTATTAGGGTAATAAGAACTTTAAGAGTTTTTCTTCAACTATATATGAATTATGGTATTGCCGTCTTTTTATACCTGAGGTGTCTGAATTTCAGTTTCAATTTAATCTTATTAGCAAAATGAAATGCTGTAACTTCACAGAAGCTTTTGTGGAAATTAAAAGAACCCATGTCAGTATATGTAGCAATCAATAGGTGTTCAGTCCCCTTCCACTGTTAATGATGATGGGTAATTGATGAGAAAGATTGTTAGGAAACTAAACCCACATTTCTTAACAAAGTAAATGCCCAAGGAGTCAGAAAACTTGATGGATTTCTGGAAGTATGATGGTAAACTTTAAGAAAAACAGAAGGTTAAGGGCTGCTTTAACCACATAAGAGTTTTTTTGTTTTCTTAAAATGGGGTGTACACTACTGAAATTATTTGTTTATGATACAAAAAGTAACATTTCTAAAGATAGCTTATAAACGTTAAAGTCCTTAAGAA